TCTATCCTCTGGGTGGACCTCGCTGTGGCGACACCAGAATACAGCTGGAGGAAATGCCCCCTACCGCTGAATTCTGATATCGGATGCGACGCCTGGTACTGTAGATGGAGTTCTGCATCGTCGATCTTGATGCCCATCAGATTTTAAATATGAACGCGTAAAGATAAGACTTGATATAGGATTGGTGATGCTTTTCGTGAATTAGCGTATGTAGTCACCAAGTATTAGCTATAACTAAGTTTAGCCTATAGGTGACCTTTATAAATTGGAAAACAAAATACAAATCAGGTATAAATGTTTTAAAAATAAACTACAGATGTGCCCATTGTCCCCAAACGGGGACATCATAATATTTTCTAACTTTCCCCTAAGCGGAATTGAAAGTATAAGGATATTCTTCAATATTGTTTTAAATGACACTATAAGCAAGCAATAATCACAAAAAAGTTTTATAATTCTTCATAGTAACATACTATAAAACGGCTCTGCTTTCGATAATAATTCCCATTTCACTTCCTCTTGATAAAATTGTCAATATGACCCCCTTTTTGTAGCAATTTGTCAAAACTTCTAATAATTTTAGGAAAGTACACTACTCCTCATAAAAAATACTAATGAAAATTAAAGATAGCTAAAAAAATGAATAACCAGCGGGTAAAAGAAGACCTGTCCCCGTATGGGGACGGCAGATCCAAATGGGTTAAATTAGCTAAATGTTTGCATTACATGTATAATTAACACAATTTAGAACCGAGTGTAAAATATTTAGAGTATTTTCCTTCTATAGATGCAAAAATATACAGATGTATAAACTGTATAGGTACTATCATTATGGATATCAACCGACATATTAAGCTGGATTAGTACTATCAGAACATTATCAGATTACCCAGTAATCTTATTACCATTCTACAACTAATTTGTTCCTACACAGTATCTAGGTCAGTGTATCAAATCATTTGAATAAACATCAGCATCAACATCATTATTACTTGAGAGAATATCAAAATCAGGTTTTTAATGTGTCACTGTATCTAATTATAACTGTTTTGTTGACTGAGGTCACAAACGTGTAAGATTTTTGAAGTCTTATAATTAGTTCAAAAAGTTCGAGTGGTTGCAAGTGCGACTCCCGGGCAAGGGGTCTCGGGTTCTATTCCAGAGTCGGGCAAAGTATTACTGTGTTTTTAAAAATCTCAGTAGTAGCACGGAGTCTGGAAATGTGCCCGGTACATAGCAGTAGGCTCGCCCCCTATTACATGGGACTCATAACATAAATAGTGAAAAATGGGTGTTACTTCTGCGTGCACCTCTGCCTACCCCTTCGGGGATATAAAAGCGTGATGTTATGTTATGTTCAAGAAGATTAGTTTTCTATAAGGTATGGAGTCTAGGAAACAAGAGTTATCCAGGCTATACTCTTTGCTATAGGCTCGCTTTGTGTCACACCGAGTTACCAACAATACAACTGACAAAAATTATGTGTACTTTAAATAATTTATGACTTAACTAACAGAAGTGATCTAATACTGTTTCCAAATTAGATTTGATATCACACCTGGATATACCAAGAAAGTTATTGTCTAAAGGATAATAAACCAAATATCTACACAACTACAATGAAATATGAATAAAGCCATACATACACTCACCTACAAGACTGAGGCACATCAGTATCCACAGAGGTACAAACACAACCTCCCACGACCAACTTATGAACTCATCCAGCTTCAGTGCCAGAAATATGAACTGGAGTATATTTACAGCACAAAATAGTTCCAACTGAAACAAGGATTTTTTTAAATATGGGTACCTAATACATTTGCTACTTTTGCGGGTATTACTGGCCCTGCTCGGCGCCTATTAATCGTAGCGTTCCTCGATAAATCGGTTATTTAGTTATAGTTCCTAGTTTAATTATCGTTCCTGAAATTAGCGCACAAACAAACTCTTCAGTTTTATATAATTGTATAAGATAATTTAATTAAAGGTCTAGTTTTGAAGATGTATTGATTGTAAATTATTATAGTAGATCATATATTGCAATCAGTAGATAATAGGTAGAGGGTCCTCTTTATTTTGTTTCCCGAGCCTACGCTCAGGAATAGTGCCCTAAATGAGGTACCCGGTAACCATTAATTAAAATATGGAAACAACATAACCAGTGAAAAGTATGTGCATATCTACCAACTTCTCCTGCTTCTCAGATTATGTTATTTTTATGTCGCAAATTTGTACGAAAAATTATTAATTTTTGACTTTGTAATCAAACAGAATAATAACAAAAGTTATTTATTAAATTACTTCAATAAACATTGATTGGACTTTAGCTCTGTTGTTAGATAGTTGCATTATTTATCAACCAATACTAGATAGTAAGGTCAACAAGTTCAAACAGATTATCGCCTAATGCAGAATGTATTCTCTGTTACACTACTTAATCAATGTCGCAATTGCAATATCAAGAATCCATCTCACTTTAAGTATGAACGGAAAGGAATACATAATTAATCTTGATTTACATAAGGAAATGGTAGGTATTGAATCTGCACCTGCATATAATTTTCGTCCAGTAAGTCCTAATTCTGCAGAAATATCAAGACAAAAAAGAGCCTATTCAATTCTCTGAAAATTAAGCCCTCCAATAGCGAAAGAGTTATTTAAATAGGCCTAGTTTTAGAGATTCTTCGTTTTAAGAACCTTCTCCTAATAAGAATTAGTGAAATCGGTCCAGCCATATACGCGTCATGCCGCTCGTCGAGTACCGTCATTATAGACACAATTATAGAACAAGAGGTTACGGTCACCGGTGACCGCTTGGTGTTTCACAGTTTAGGAGAAAAAGGGATTAATTTTTTTATATATAGATTATTCTAAATAAAAATTGTACAAACCTCATAGCTGCGATCATGTTTCACAGACCATATACAGATGGCAATGGAAACTATGCTTATAAAGATGAGTGGTATAAACACCAGTATCCACACATGGCGACTGGTGGTCAACTGGTCACATACCAGCAGCTCAAACATAAGCAGTATTAAGTGAATGGCAAGACTTATCAGCATAGCTTTGTAATGAATGTAAGCTTCACCCTCCAACCTGGAAAAAAGGCACAGATTTATATGACTTATTTATTTAACTTGTAATAAATAATAACATACAGAAATAAGGATGGATGGAAAGAGGTACAACTTAATAAGAGATAGAAGTATAAATTGTGTAAAGAATGATGTAAAAAAGGTACACACCTTTTTTATAGCATGTTATTAAATAGGAGAGAATGGCAAATAGGACATTTTGCTGTGACTTGAAGTAGCTGGCATAAGGGCAGGAAGATTAAAATAAACTAAGACTACATAACTTATAAAATAATATGCTGATTAATTAAACTGTCAAACACCAAGTGGTCACCGGTGACCGCAACCTACTGTTCTATAATTGTGTCTATAATGACGGTACTCGACGAGTTAAAATATAATGGTCTATCTTTCTCATGAGCTGGGATTGTGACAAATATGTTTCTACAAATGTGAAATGGTTTGAAACTAAATGTCTTTGGAGAAAACAAAATAAAATGGCCTTAATAATGATTTACAAATAACTACAAGAGGTCAGATTATTATTAGTTACAGAATTCCATCAGATAATGTCAGCTTTGGGTGTTATGTTAAATGGCATTTCTTTCTTGCATTGTTTATATTTTAGTCTGCTTCCTATACATGTGTTTCCTTTTCCTTATTTGTGTATGTAGAACTAATATTAATATTTCATGTTTCAGTCACAGATTGACTATCTCATTAGTCCAAGTGTTAATGATACTTGTTAAAAAATAAGATAAGTCTGCCTATTGAATAGTCATATCTGTGATATTTCCTTAACATTTTTTTTTATATTGTTGGGCCAATGTTTGACCACTATATCACCTGGTCATGGAAATTAAAATTAAATGCACCTAAATTAGGTATTTGTGGATCAAGGGCACAGGAAAATATAAATTACAGCAGCATAATAGTGATGAGTTTATAATAAAACTCTAGTGAGATGAACTATATTTTAGACAAGATCGATGGAAATATTTATGAACAAATCAAAGGGTCGAGCAACAACTCATAGACACTGTCATATATAGCTGCAGTCCTGCATTCTTTTTATTCTATTGAGTAACACTTTTGACTGTTAGCAAAAGAATTGAAGCATAAAATGTATTATTCAGTGCAGCCAGATCTAGTCTTAACTTTGTGGTTTGTTTATATAAATTTCACATCGATCCTTAGCACAAGTGTACTGACCTGAAGTGAGGGTACTGCCACCAAACATATGTGCCAACTGTGGCACCAAGAACTACAAGAAATTTCCACACCCATATTGGAGTAAACACGGCCCAGTACGACCATGTTATCGAATTATCTAATTTTAAAGCTAACAATGCAGTAAATATTAGCAAACAGCTGTGAACCACGAATTTGCTGGAAACAACAAAAACAATAATTAGAACAAGTTATCACATACTGTCTCAATAACATACAAAATAACTTTACATTACCTAGGATTAAAATCCTGAAATAAAGTTTGTAAATTCATTTCCATACACATAAGTGATCTTAAACGTTTTTAACATTTCACATAAAAACGAGTCTTGATGACTAAATAATTTTGATTTATTCGATAGATAATCTCACAAATCACAACACAAGAGCCATTCTATTTTATCAGCTGCAGGCATTATTTACCACAGATATTTAAAAGTGAATAAAGTGATGCAGTTATGTCATATGATGCGACCGATATTCTCGATATGATTAAATTCGACATGAAACACTAGGAACTTCATATATTTTATTCTACAAATAACTGATCATTCTTCTAAATTGTACAAGGATTTTATTAAGGATATGGCAAAAGATTTATATAATAACTTACAATCAGGTAATAAATTGCAGGACCTAGGTCCATTGGTACATACATCTCTAACTAATCTCTAATTTTTGCTTAGTACTTATTATTGACATTGACAGTGTTGATTGATTCGAAAGATTCTTTTTTGTAAAAGCAAAAATACTAAGGCAGTCGATGAAAGTAATTAATTTTGTTAACTCTTGTAGATGTTACTCGTCTTTTACTTAAATTTCACTGAAACCGCTTCTTATCTTTGATAATAATTTAATAACATGGCTTCACCGTCACCAAAATCGCCGGAACAAAGTGAAAAGACTAAACAATATGACCGGCAACTACGGCTATGGGGAGATCATGGTCAATCTGCACTTGAACATGGGCATATTTGTTTAATTAACGCTACAGCCTTAGGTACTGAAATATTAAAATCTATAGTATTGCCTGGAGTTGGTGCTATTACTATAGTAGACGATAAAGCAGTAAGCGATGAGGATATTGGAAGCAATTTTTTCTTGGAATGTTCCAGTAAGGACTTGAATAGAGGTACAGAGGCTTTGCGATTGTTACTAGAATTAAATCCAGCTGTCCGAGGGCATGCAGTTCAAGAGCCTACAGACCAAATTCTTAGAGAAAACCCTGATTTCTTTAAAGCTTTTAGTGTAGTTATAGCTACAGCTCTTGGAGAAAAAACTATTCAGGATCTAGCTCAACATTTATGGGATGTAAATGTCCCCCTGATCCTGTGTAGATCAGTTGGATTTTTAGGATCTTTCAGGATTCAAATGAAGGAACATGCCGTCATTGAAACTCATCCTGATAATGAACAAACAGATTTGAGGCTTGATGCACCATTCCAATCTTTAGCAGATTACTTAGACAGTTTTGATATAAATTCTGTTGATTTGAAAGATCATGGCCACATACCATGGATTGTAATTATCTACAAAGCTGTGCAAAAATGGCAAACCAGTAATCAAAATCGTTGGCCAATGAGTAGAAAAGAGAAGAATGAGGTGAAATCTATTATTAGTGAATTTATAAGAAGGGATGAAAATGATGTCCCGATTAATGAAGAAAATTTTGAAGAAGCCATAAGAGCCGTTAATACTGCACTAATGCCAACATATTTACCTGTAAAGAGTCAAGAATTGTTGTACTGCAGTGCTGCTACCAACTTAACTAAGGATAGCACCCCTTTTTGGATAATGTGCTCTGCATTGAGAGGGTTTGTCGAGGGTGAAGGTAAGGGCAAGCTGCCTGTCAAAGGTGTATTACCAGACATGACTGCATCAACAGACCACTACATCAAACTACAAAATCTATACAGAACCCAAGCGGCAATGGATGCTGAAATAGTGTATAGAAAAGTGCAACAAATTGTTGCCCAATTACATTGCGATAACATCAGTGAAGCCGATGTGAAACTGTTCTGTAGGCATGCACATGACTTACATCTTATTAGTGGGTCTAGTATAGCTTCAGAGTACCAACTGACTAGTTCAGTTGCTTCTTACATAGCCAGACATTTAGAGGAGCCCGATGTGATGATGGTACATTATGTGTTATTAAGAGCTGCTGAAATGTTTGCATCAGAACACTGTAGAGCTCCAGGTGATTGGGAACCTGAGGGTGACAGTGCTAAATTAAAAGCTTGTGTCACTAAGCTCCTCAGTGATGTATCTTGTTCTCCATTCCCTAAAGATGATCATGTTCATGAAATGTGCCGATATGGTGGAGCAGAAGTACATAGTGTGTCAGCATTTTTAGGTGGTTGTGTGGCTCACGAGGCCATTAAAATCGTAACTAAACAATATAAACCAGTGAACAATACATTTATATATGATGCTGCTTCTACTAACACTGCTACATTTACATTTTAAATGAATACTCACTTTAATAAATTATTTGTAAACAATATGGAATTTCATTTCACGTTTATGCAAAATGTAATAGGGTAAAAATAAAATTGAATAAGTGCTATTATTCAAATACTTTACTATGAATCCAAGGATTTTATATTATTTATTTTATTTAACAGTACATAAAAGTTAAGTAGATACAAACGTCTACTTATTATAGTCAAGTTAGTATGTAAAACAAGACATTCATTTGTGATAAAAACCAACATTGCAGGGTGTAAAATATAAATTAAACAGTGACTACAATATAATTCTTCAAAGTTGTGTATTTAGATTGGACAATAACCACTTTAAAATCTTACAGTCAAAATATAAAAGAATCGGTGAAAATATTTTCATTAACAATTTCAACACATAAATTAGATAAAACATATCACATGACTAAAAATAATTGAAACAAACTATACATTTGGCTAAATCCTCATGGATGGCAATAGAAGGTTACACCATATAAGAAGAGTAATCTGCTTTAAATATGGTTAAGACAGCATGGCCTCCAGAAGTATGTAACACAACATTGAGAATTTCTCAGATACCTACTTATTTCACCTAAGCCATAACTTCAACCGTAATGCATCTACACCATTAAGATAATATCGAAATAAGCGTTTGTCCCGGACAAAACCGAGATTCTCATACAGCTTTAGTGCTGGTTTATTTGTGATTTCAGTTTCTAAAACTACTTCATCCGCATTGTCCTTTATCATTGCCTGTAACAAAAAGAACAAGTATTTTTATGGAGACACCTTTAAAAAATAATGCTATTGGAATTTGGTTGATTAAAATAAACATAAAATATAAATTGAGGGCTCTCCTAGATTTACTTAATATGTGTACATACCTGTATTGCTTTTCGAACCAGTCTAGACCCAATCTTCCTCTTCCTGTATTTTTCATCAACGGCTAACATAGCAATGTAGCCTCTTTTAACTACATTACGATGCATATCTAACTTACAAACGATGGCACCAATGCACTTCCCTTCGTGAGTTGCCAAGAAGCAAAGCTTAGGCCAGTTGTGTATAAAATATCTATATGTATAGATGGAGTAGGGTTCTGACAAATCTTTTTGTATAAGTCTCATTATCTCTGGCATTTGAAGCTCAGATTCGTATGAAATAATTTCAATTTCGTCCTCGGGGTGTTGCTCCTCTTTACTGACATTTTCGAGGTTTCCTAACGCATCATCAAAAATACACCTGTCTGCTATTTGGGCAGGCGCATCTATGCTTTCTCGTTTACATGTTGCATCACTACACTGTATACTATTTACATCATTCACGTCTTCATTGGCTTCAATCGGAACATCATCTTGGTTCTCCGATTCGTGCTTCTGACTCTCGGGGCTTCCATTTGGATGATCACTAGTCCCATTGGTTAGGTTTCTATTGATGTTATTTATATGAAGAGTATTGGCTAAAGAGTCGCTTAAATTCTCTTGATTAGATATACTTATTTCATCAGGATTTTCAGGATCTTTGGCCTTTTTACTTTTGTTTTTCATATTCGTGCCCTTCTGACTGCACTTTATACTCTGAATATTTTCTTCGGTAAGTTGATTCATATTAACGGTATTCTAACTATAAATATTTACACACTCAAATGACTGTAAGCTCATATAAATTTCACATAAGCTTTCACGACAATACATACATCTTTTCCTTGTCAAAATTGTAGAAGAGTATCACCGACATCTTGGTAAGTATAAAAGCAACAGCTCCAATAAAAAAAAGGATGATCTGACTGTATCTCTGTGCGTTCTTATGACAAAATAGATAAATAGAAGTAAAATAATTTTGCAGTAAATAAGAATTCTGAAAATACTTCTTGAAAATGTACGAAATTTATAATTTATGTCCAATGCCTTCCACAATCACATTGCAAAAAAATATCAGTCGCATTACAGTATCACAAAACCGTAGTTGGTTAGAAGTTGGGCATTGTTATATTCCTATAGAAAATGCAAGTAATCAGAAAAAGAAAGACATATTTTTAAAGCTTAAAAAGCAACACAAAGCTATACCTGAAACGATACTTGGTGTTGCCAAATAAAACACAATGTTACGATAATAATAAAATCAGATCATTGCCATAATTATTTTATTTTGACTATGTGAACTTTATATAAAAGGAATTTAGTTTGAAACTAATTATCTGTAACGTACATATTCCTAAAACCTTGCCTTAAATTTTGATTTGATTTTAGCAGAACAGCGATTTTAAACTTCGCATGAAAGATAGCCAAGATCTAGATCAAGATCTAGATCTGATGATCTACATCCTCGGTTCTAGAAGCGAGGATGTTGTTTCAAAGTCCTTGTCTAGAACCTATACTGTGAAGCCATGCAGGTTGAACAATTAATTATATTTATTACTTGTCACTAAAGTACAAAATTGGTTAAATAGATGTTGAGTATAAATAAATGTGTGACTATTAGCTAACCGAATCTTATTTACAATAATTAAATAAAGAATAAGTAGTTAATACAACTACAAATTTTAGGCGCTGTTGAGGAAACCTTTAGCTCGTTTTATATCAAGTTAACTACTTGATATAAAACGAGCTGAAGAAAAGACTTACCTACCCACTTTTAGTACAATTTATATTTGTAGAGAATCAATGTAGGTAGGTACTTACATACAACATAGTTCGAATACCTACTTACTTAACTATGTACCTGAGTAGACTGAAGTTACTCAAGCGAAACATAAATATAATACTACTCTTTAACAATTGATGCTTTTTTACAAAATCAGAGTGATGATTTGTACCAATACACATTGTGAAGTTCGACTTAGAGTCCAATCCGAACGCTTTGCTGACGTCATGAAGAGAATCAACATGGCTGGCGAGCGACTGAAAGCGCGCGCGTGTACCGCCGCGGTAGGTGGTGTGCTTGGTTCTAGTTGTACGAGTACTCGACTCGATCGACTCGAGACTTGAGTTCAGTACCCGGTTGACAGCCGGTGAGGCGGCGGCGTGACGTGGTGCTCCAAGCGTGTTATACGCGCACGCCGCCTCTGCGCGATTTTCTATAAATTGTAAATAATTTTTGTATACAAAATATAAGACGTGCTAATGCAGAACAGTAACTATTCAGTGTGTGATTACTTAAGCTGTTCTTCAAGTCAATCTGATATTGTGTTGTTTATTTATACGGACCACGTTATGTAGTGTCTTTGATACGATTTACTCTACTAGGGAGTAACGATTACCGTAATATTCACAATCAAAACATGCATGTATTTATTAATTGAATGACGTATTAAGGGATTATACATGCGTTCAATGTTGTGTGCTTGATTATTTGCTGTAATTTTAGTGTGCGTAGGTAAATGACTGCCTTCGATGGATATAAACAAAAAAGTGATACGGATGATTTTCAATAAATCCTCCAAAGTGCTCGAAAATCCATTTGGAATTTGATGATTATAATATAATCAACAATGGCGGACCGTGAACGTCCTGCGAAAACCCCCATTAGGGTGGGTTTTTATGACATCGAGAGGACCATTGGCAAGGGAAATTTTGCCGTCGTTAAGTTAGCACGACATCGAATAACGAAGACTGAGGTAAGGAGATCTATTGTTTTCTCATTTATAACATTTATTAAAGAAAGAAGTAAAAAAAGACGATGTAAAATGAAATTCTTAATTTGGTAAGCCAATTATGGTAGTCCATAATTAGGTAGGTCCATACAAGAAACAGCGTGGGTAGTTTTTAAAATCGTAAAAATAACCCATTAACGTAATCTTAAAACAAAGCTAAACGTGGGGAAATCCATGTTTTTATTAATATACGTAAAACAAACAAATCGAGCTAATAAAAACGTGCACACTTATCAGCTTACTAGCCTCAGATAAAAATTGATGTCATTAACACAAGCACCTTCCTGAATAATCTAAATCTTTACAAAACATTGGCTTTTATAAGGCCAAACTTTATTGTTTATTAATGTAACAGAAAAAGGATCCATTTCAAATTCAAGGGTTAACATCACATTGTTTTGAACGTTTTAATTTAGTTAAGTCCTGTTATCTCTCATATGTTGGAATATCGGTTGAGATATACGTTCATCTATATTTTATCGTTGGTTATTCCAAAACACACCATTAGGTTCATCCATATTGTTTCGTTTTTCCATCAGAATTTCTGAATGGCCTTATTGGTTCAGCTGTTGCATCTTAATGAGCCATAAAACAAAGTAAGTAACAACAAAGTAGACCACAAAAAATGTAGTGAAAATAGCTTATTAATCAATAGCAAATTATTTATGCATAATCGCAAGTTCGTTGTTTTTTCCAACTAGCCTGTCTGGCCTTAATTCATGCGGCGAAGGTTCGTTGGGTACGAAGAGAAAGTATTAACCTAAGCGAATATTTAATACAATCACAAAAGATGCGTGCAAAAACAACTCTAGGTAGTCTTAAAATGAACAACTTTTAAATTGACCGAAAATGGCGATTTCGCAGACCTCTGTGCGGTCCTTGCTAAAAGCGGTGCAAGGCTTTTTGATTTGAAAAATATTTCGCTTTTTGCGTAAGCCTATTCTAAAACTTATATTTTCTGCAAAATTCATCATTTTTGATGCCCACATTCTTCTTTATTCACATTTTTTTCATTTCTTCTCATGAAAATCGGTAAGAAAATCTCATTAAAGAAATTAAGGTCATGTTCGAAAGCAGAAAACTGTAAAGTTAACGATAAAACATCCCGATTAGAGTGTGTTGGTCCAATTAGGTTTGTATTTCTGTATTCTTATTAGTCGTAGCTGATAATTTTCACTAATACTAATTAATGAATAGTAAGCAGCAGCACGACGATATTAGGTCGAAGATGGACTTGCTCTGATCTCAATAATGATCACTTTGCGATGTGTCAGACGCTCGAGAACACTTTTGTAGAAATCTGAACTCTATGCTCTTAATCATACATAATGCTAGGTACTACATCACTACATACATCGTGCATTGTTCAAAGAGGTCCTTATACCTTACCTCTGTAGTGTGTACACAGTGTTCTCTTCAATATGAGTTCAATAGTCGCCAAAATTATTAGAACTCCTCATCAAATTAGTCACGTTTGTAAGTCGTATGTATAAGTTTTTATTTAAGTTTACTATGAAAACATCATTGTTCTAGTGGTTTGTTTAACTTCATAAGACTTCGATTACGGAAATTGAACTTTAGACATTGATAGAGAAACATTCATTGTGGCATATTTTTACAATATAATTAATATCTAAGCAGTTAGAGAAACAAATGTGTGCCAACGTCCTATAGTTGTGGGAAGTATAGCAACAGGGCGGGATATAGAATCGTCCACTATTGAGAATTCTCAAGTGTCAGCAACCGTTCGGTCGGCTGGTAACCAAGTCGTTGTAGACCCACTCATGACTCTTATTCCTAAAATTTTGGGACTCGAGTTGGCATACCCATTATCGCACTCATGGTCCTGCAAAAAGCTCCGAAGCCACTTCGAATTTCAAAGAAATAATGGAACTCTAAAAGTAATATTACTCAAGAGCGATAGGAGCAAAATGTCGCTGTAAAGGTCATTTTCTATTTGTAAACTTCAAACTGAAGTATGTTTGTAGCAGATACGGTGAACGTAGATTGCATTTTACCTACGTATCTATGTAGAATATAGATAATTAGTTTAGAGAAGTCTCTTAACGTTAATGAAAATGTCTGATAGAAGGATTTTTGTAAAACAAAAATATCTGGAATAATAAATTGCATTTCATACAGTGATTATTGATAAAATCAATATCCCATAAAATCTAATTGTTATCAATAAAAATACATTGTAGCTTCAAGCCTAACTAAAATCTTTTTACATTTTTTTTTAAGTTGAAAATTTAGTAAATGAAGGTTCTTATTAAGATTTAGAACGATACAACATAATATAGACTTATTTGATCAATATTATTTCCGTTTAATAATCATCGCAGTGAAATGGGTACACGTTACTGAAGCCAAACGTTTCAATCGTTAACTGAAGAAATAACTATTTCAATAGCCACCAGGTATAAAAGGCTACTTACAGTCGTACGAGTCTATGGCACCGAAGTGGGTCATTGGCCGAATACTGTACATCGTCGTCGTTGTGAATGACTCACGGCGCACGGACTGCGTTTATGAACGACTTTTTAACTGGCGATTACATCGATTTCAGGGTTCCTGCTATAATGCGGAATATAAATAAAGACTTTTGTTTAGAATCCACGGTAAACATGACGCATCGCAGAAAGTGACTTACGAGGACGCGACGTTGAATGAATGCACCAAAATAACAGAATGAACGCCCTCGGCCTTCGCTACTGTACTGGTTTGCTGTCTGAAATGTGGATGGTTACCTTAAATAAGTTTGTGTACCGTAAATCCGGTTTAATGTTTACACAATATTAGTGAGATCTGTTACTCCGTCGATTGGACTTTAGGAAACTTTTTGAGAATAAATCTGATATAAGAAGTAGGTACGCGATAGAGCTTGTTAGCTTTGAGATTCCTTGAATCATCTCTCCTCTATAGATTTAACTTCTACTATTAAAACATAATTCTTACTAACTTTCAAGTAAATGTGCAAGCGGCGTTGCAAACCGGCGTAAATGTAAACAAAGCGCCAAAAAAGTAATTTGAAAAAGTTGGCGAAACATGATGTTTCGAGGAACGCAGCTATCAATCAGTGATTCAGCGTAGTCGGTTGGATGAGGTCGAAACGAGCGTCGGCGGCGGGCTGCCGCGTCCAGAAATACCACGGCATCGACCTTGCTCTGGTGCACGCATCGTTTTGTTTTTATTATTTTACTTTTTTCAGTGTGAGCCGCTAACACCAAGGTGACGGCCAGACATTCGGCGCTCCAAACGCGTAGTCATCGGTTTCATAGCTCGTGTTGAGAAACATTTCATTCATATGCTTTAACATTAGCGACCTACGTTCATTGTATTCTTGAATATTTAATCACCTTTTCTAATGACTAGGTAGGTAGATTATGCGTTTCTTTACGTATGTCTTTGACGTCTCTATATGTATACGACAGGCAGTTAACGCAAATGCCACACAAACAATTCATCGTAGTCGTGGTGTAAAATTGATAAACGATGTGTGCCTAGACAGTTTGAATCATTGCGTTGCGTTGCGCTTGGTAAAATAAAGAAAGCGCGATCATCAAGGAGATGCGTGATCGGCACAAGTCTGGCGAATATTTTGCCAGGAAATCATATAGTATGGCACGCGCTCCGTTTACACTGCTTGAAAAATGTGCGCTTGACGCAAATGCGTTATCTATTTTGGAACTCTGCGTCAGTAGCTGGTTGTTATCTATACTTTGCAGTCTGGCGGTCACCCTCGTCGTCTTCTCCGTCTTTAGTTTGGAAACTTTCTCTTTACATTTTTTCCACACGTGATTGCATATTAGACTACTGCTAGATATTGTTGAAACTACGGTCGCACTAGGATCAGTTTATCAACAGATAATTCACCATGATAACGTGGAGACACGCGTGTTTGTTTGCTCTCGATAAGTAGTTATCTCCTGTCATGACGTCAATAGTTCATTTTGAATTGAAAATGGTGGTAATAAAATTGTACGTTAGGTACAAATCTCTTTAATTGATGTACTTATATCTAGTGACGTATTTGCTAAAGTGTTTCAATTGTTCCTGTAGCAATATTTATGTTTCTATTACAGTATTATGAGCCAAGAACAAAGTAGAAATAGTTTTGGTGTCCATTTGAATACACTACTGGAGGAATATAATAAGTGTAGAAGTAGAAAACAACTACTAAACTGAATGCTCTATGTGATGTCTTCCGTTTTCATCCTTGAAAAAGTTGTCTGTAGTGGTCCGGACGACATGATGGAAGGGGGGCACTAGAATGGAGGGTACTACGCTCCCCGACGTCGGCGTCGCTTCGTGCAGCGTACTACATTTACTAGGAGTTGCCTACTCTTGCGTCCATTGTTTTGAAATGCGTAGGTGGAAGACTGTAACGGAACAATCTCCCGCTATTTACGTGTTCTAAAATCTGTAAGCTCAAGAATACAACTTACTATTAAGATGCTGTTATAAAACAGACAGGTATTAAAATTTTTCAAGTGTAGGACGGTTTATTTAGTTCTCGAACAACACAAGTTTGTCTGTATTGTTTTAACATGTCATTTAAATATTCCATAAATTAATTTTATATCACTCCCACTTGCTTTATCTTAATTTACATTTTCGCTTTTCATGTCCGCCTACTGTATTTTTGTCTATCTTGTGAAATGTTATCTTCTATTCACAACGTTTATCAAAAGACTCTTATTACCGCACAGCATTTTGCGAATTTTCCTTACACCCTTGCTAAGGATTGTAGAGGAGAAAATGAATATTATCTATCTTACTCACACGTATGCTGTCCCGCTTTGGCGAGTATATTGATCGTCGTCTAGACTTGTTGATTGTGGCTGAAGGGCTTAACGTCCCTGAATTTGGCCGAAGCTTGGGCTTCTGCTTAGGAACTAAAATACGTGATTTATTTTCGTATACTCTCCTGAATTTTGGGAGCCTTTTAATGCTGTTGGTGC